ACCATTAATGCTGTGTAAAAATTCAGCTGTTGAATTCCTTTCTTTAGGGTGCATTCACACGAGCCCTGTTTAGTCGCTTTAATCGAAATCTAGCTCGTTTTCCCTGAAAGTCCGGCTCATTTAGGAAGGTGTGAACGCGCCATCGAACTCTATCATGGAACAAAAAGGCGAACTCTGGCCCCGGCTAAAACCTAGGTCTCGGTCCGGTAGAAGCGAACTCCAGCGCGGTTCGAGTACAGCGTGAATGTAAACAGACTGGACCCCGCTCCGCAGGACAAACAAACACGCATTGCTCTGACCTCATATGGAGCTGTCAGCTGCCTTGTGTAGAAAAACAATATTCTCCATGGTCTTCTGTCTCATCTTCTGCTCATGCTAAGTCCATTTTTGAAAAATAACTCCTAAAACTGCTAAAACTTGATGCCACTTCGTTTTTATTTTTATTTACAGAAGAAGAAGACGACGTGTCTTCATTGGTTTTTGTGTCGTTTCTTTCAGTAGTTCTTGGTGCAGCGCCCCCACAGGCGAGCAGGGGAATAGGTTGGTTCAACAGGTTGACTCGACTGCACAGTGCAGTGTGAATGCAAACGCACCAGCTCAAATGTAAACAAAAGGTCATGAATATTGGTCCCGAACCGAACCGAGTCTACCGGACTATCTGGTGTGAAAACGACCTTAGACCGAGTGGTAGCTGCCACTGAAACAGTGGCACCTAGTGGCAGCTTTAATTACTTCTGCCATTTTCCATCCAGTAAATTCATCAAAATATTAAAGGTCTTATAGCACGTTTTCCAAAAACCGGCATCGGCAAAAACCCCAAACAGTGGGAGCAATCATGGCAGCTGTAGTGGCAGCTCTAGTCGCACCTAGTATTGTGATAGGTGCCACCAAAGTCATGGGAGGTGCCAGTAAATCCGTGGCAGGTGCCACTGAAGCCGGAGGCAGCGTGGCAGCTGACACTGTAAGTGCCACTGTACTCCCCTTTTAATTTTTTTTAAATGATTTGTTTGAAATAAACTTATTCATATTCAATATTCAATTTAGAGAAGATGTGTCATATGTCACTAAATCCGTGGCAGGTGCCACAGAAACTGGAAGGTGCCAGTCAATCCATGGCAAATCACTTCTTGGTCTGCTGCCTTCATACATCTCCTCCTACATGTCTCTGAGTGAGTGCAGCTACAGCGTGCGCTCTCAGGACATCATTACCTGCAGTGTTCCCTCAGTGAGGACTGAACTAGACAAAAGGACCTTCTCCTACTCTGCTCCTGTTTCCTGGAAAATCTTGTAAAAAGATCTGAAGCTCTTGACCTTTGACCTCTCTAAGTGGCTTTAAGAATCTGTTGGACTCCTGGCAGGGACCGATGCAGACATGTTCCTGTTTTTAGTTTTCTACATTTGCCTTAGAATCTAGCCGTTTTTGTTACTTTTCACAAATGATAAAGTATAATAATTTGTAGAATAACTAGTTTTAAAAGGAGCAAATTAATAATGAACAATCTACATAACAATTAATGAATCAAGGATTGATTCTTATATGGTAATGTTTTGACTATTGTCGACTCAGCTGTGTCAAACCTTCAGAAATAAACACTTTCAGCTGCAAACTGCATCCAACAAAACTTTCCTGACCGTGTCTTTGGTCGCTGCAGCTCCTACCTATTCTGTTTAGGTTTATCTGAGGTTTCCAGCTGATGTCCAGCAGTCTGCGCTGACGATCGATCAC